GAAAGGCGCCGCACCCTGGGTGCCCTTAGCCATGCCCTGGGTGCCTTCAGTTGCGCCCCTCCCCGACGCCTTTTTCCAAGGGGGGGGGGGGGGGAGAATAGTAAGTTTATTTCGCTTCTTTTGGTTAATAGTGATCTGATGTATGAATGTGTATTGCCATGTTTTATGAACATGTAGTATGAATGACTTTTCTAATGCAAATTTTATAGAGCAAATAATTAAAACAACAACTAATGCATCTTTATTAACAACATATACAGTAAAAAAAAAGTGAACTCGTGATAAACACAGAAACGTAGACAAAAGAAATGAGACGTGCCTTTTCCTATCATAAAAAGTGCCCTGCCCTTCACTGGCACCCTGCCCCTTTCTATTTCTAGCTGGAGCACATCAAGTGATGAATATCTCATCTGGCTTTTGTCTTAGAAGAAGCAATTAGTTTTGAAGGTACAGGTTAAGTGTTGTTATTACTAATTTCCAGATGTAGTATAACTGTAAGAAGATGTTTTGTGGTAATGGATTTGGAATGAAATATTAATTGCAAATATTTTTCTAGAACATGTTGTCAGCTGGCTTCTTATATTTTTTATAATTTTGTTGCAGTTTGTAATCTTGACATTTTTTTTGTAAGTTCTATAGATGAGAGCTTCATATTGGTATTATCATTTAGTGCTTTATATTTGGTTGCATGTGTAAGCATATGCTTTTGTTAGTTGAAATATTTATATCTTCATTTCTGATGGCAACAAGTCCATGTAATACATAGATCTATAGTCAGGATTATTAGTAAGCGATAGTTGTTTTTTTTGTTTATGTTTATTGTCATGATTGATATGGACTATATAACTTGCTGTTTGGTGTGAACCAAGGCTTCATGTTGAAGACCGTACTTCAACATATAATGGTTTACTTTTACAAATTGTGACTTGGATAGAGAGTAGTCTTTGGTACTGATATGACATTCTGATATATCTATCGACAAGATTGAGAACACTTTTTTTTGTAATAAAACATATTTAATTCTATGATATCATATTCAACAATTTATCGGTAATTTGTGCATTTTTCCTTTGATGTGTACTCTCTGATAATGTCAGTATCAGTTGACTGGTCGTGATATATAAATTATTGGGTCAGTTCGCAATTGACATGCTCAGGTGCGCTGTTTCAGGATCTTCTTTCCCCTTTCATTCACAAAATCATGCATGATTTTTTTTTTGCAGAATAGCAAGAGTGTTTTGGTGAATGAAACTCTTCTCATATTGTTTGAAAGTTTCAGTAAAGTTAGTTTTGCCTTTTTGACAGATTGTGTGAAAATTCGAACAAAATATGAATAAAAAACCCAATAAACTTTTAAAAAACGCACCATTATTAATAGCTTTCCTTGCTTATTCACAATGATGTACAAAATGTATAAATATATCATCCATGCTATTCCGATCTGAGTTTTTATTCATACATAGTCTGTTGCTGTTCCAACTTCCAAGTAGTCTTCTTTTTCTGTTTCTTGAGAAGTATTTGTTTTACCTGTTCAGTCACTTTAAAGTGTTACAATTAATATTTAGACGCAACACAGAATAGTGACCAAAAAGGTACTGCTATCATATGAGAGGAGCTAGAAAAAAAAATGAAATGTACACATTATCAACATTTTTGTGGGACCATCAAGATGTGGTTTCATTGACTTTTTTGTCAATATATAGACAGATATTCATAGACCAAATAACAAATAAGCAACAAATTCAAAAGTAGATGTAGGATGAATTATAGAAAGAAGGGGTACCCAGGGGCCCGAAACTTGACAAGGTTTGATTTGGAACAAGTAATATGTCTGCATTAACATTAAATGTAGGTTTTAAAAGGGGGACCCAGATCGCCTTTCCCTAAATCCTTTTCTGAAATTAAAGGTAACCGCATATTTCTGGGCGCAGTTGAAAAATAAATGAACATGACTTTGAAAAAGCAAGAATATTAAGCTGAAAGAAATACCGGTAGACCAAATTTGGATGACATCTATTAAAATATTTGAAATAATTATGAAGTTGACAAGAAATGAACTTGTTCAGATAATATACAGTCAGCCTACAGACTTGTTGCTTCCTCAAATGTCTGCTTACACAGTCATGCTTTCCTAAAATGATTTGTAATGTGATGGTTTTCATAATGAATGATGAGCAAACATAGATTATGCCGTTGGTTTTCTCGTTTGAATTGTTTTACATTGTTATTTCGGGGCCTTTTATAGCTGACTATGCAGTATGGGCTTTGCTCATTGTTGAAGGCCATAAGGTGACCTATAGTTGTTTATTTCTGTGTCATTTTGGTCTTTTTTGGAGAGTTGTCTCATTGGAAATCATACCATATCTTCTTTTTTTATATTATAATGACAAGATAAATGTTATGTTACCCACCCAACTAAGTAAAATATATATCTTCTCGTTGAACTTCTAAAACAACGATAAATCTGCTGATTCATATCATATCATTCAATGTTGTCAGATGCTATGTGAAAAATAAAGAAATTTACTTTAATGTATGCTTCCATTATATTCGGCATTGTTATTCAGTTATGTCCAAAGCAGAACTTATGAAAGGCATGCAATAATTTATTTTCAATAGATGCATTTGAAAAATTTGTTTTCGGCACTAGTAAAGCGACGTCTATGTTCATGATGTCACGTGATCATCTATATCATGTATATATATAATAATATTTCATTAGAGTTGATTTATTAAAGATTGCTTTGAATCCTACTTATTGCTATTTGTCTGCAATTACTGGCCATCACAAAGGTTCACGTAAAATTTTGACGTCATAATACAAAATATCTGACGCCATAATGGAAAAGTGATTGTAGTATGATGTCAATGGTTGAAGCAGGACAGATTCTCAGGTCAGCTGGGACAGAATTCCATAGAGCGATTAGGTGTATGGTTATTATATATGGGTACTATGTTCAGGAGGATGAATTCTAATATATATAAGTAAAATACCTGTTCGGTTTTGGATTAACATCCTGGATCTGGATTTCCTTATCAACCACCATCATTGTTAATGCATCCAAGTCATAAACTAGAGCCTTTATACATAGTCAGTTCGATCTGCCAATATCACATATTACAAATACTTATACAAATACAGCCGTTAGATTAAACTCAGCACCATTGTATATTGAACAGATATATCATTGTTAAGGAGGGGTATTTGCGAAAAATACCAGTCGAGAGAATGTTAAATTTCACGAGCCGTAAGGCGAGGGAAATTCATTCTCAAGACTGGTATTTTTCACAAATACCCCTCAAGAACATGCTATATCTGTTTAATTACACCGAATGTTAACGTTCAAAAACGCATTGATGATCGTGACGTTACAAGCGTCCAGTCGGATAGAGTATTTTTTGGCAAATACCACGGCAGAGAGGGTAAAAAAGGCATATCCTTTTTACATATACCCCGGCTGCGTTAAAAAATGAACGATATTTATTTGATTAAAGCAAGGATTTGTATACTATCACTATACAAATCCTTGATAAAAGTAAATTGTTGAAAAATACACTGGCTATCAACCAATCAAAACCCAGGATTCTACATAAGGTGTAATTATGATGATTATGCTCATTCAGATTTGAAAAGGTTAGCAAATAGCAGCACCATCTGAAAATGGGAAACCTTGATTATCTCGAGCATGTGAGTCAAAGCAAATAGTAATTATCATCACGACGAAATATACTTATTGTAAGACCTGATACATTGTACATTGTAATGTGAACAAATTAGAATTGGATTTATCTATATCAAACATTTGTCAAATGCAGTTCTCAGTGCTGTTGATATATCAATTAACAATGACTGCTGAGCGCCACTGTGTAGATCCAGAAAGGGGGGCCTATATAATCAACCAAGGGGAGGGGCGGCCCCAGCCCCCAGCCCCACTTTTGGATCCGCCTGGGGTGTACGACGACTCCAAAGAATAAATCATCATGTACGAGTACATTAAACTGTCTACCCTACATGCGAACATCATTTGGGACCTCGCTGTGCTGCAAGTATCTTGGGTTTTCAGGCATATTAATTCAAATTGCTCATTGGACATTGCTGCCTTTTTTAATTTCATCTATAGATCTATAGTCGTAGACGTCCAGCTAGAGGGGTCATTAAACAAACTATAGTGCACTGAAACCCTTGCCCATAACTAAAAAGGGATGCTTGGTGTTTGCTTCCTTGCACACACGCAACAATATTACTCACCTTGTTTGTTTTCTATTCTTCTAAGTTTTAATCAGCTGTTTATCGGCAATTGTCTGTTTTGTTTACATCAGAAATCAATGAAGCGGTGAATACGCGGGGAAACGAAAGGACATCTTCGTATCAATACGGTAAATTCCGTGATTTGAATATTTTCTAATCAATATGTTCAAGCAATGAAAAATGTGAGGATAACATGTTTAATCATAGAGCACACGTTTTGTGTATTTACTATTGAAAATTATAGTTTATGAAGAAATATAGCAAAATATGTTTCAATACGCACTATAAAGTGAAGATTAGATGTATTATTGTTTTGTTTTTGAAAGAACATTAATAATCCATAATTACACACCTTTGTACCAAAATTGCAACAAAATTTCAAGATAACATAAATTTCATCATCACAGAATGATATTATTTGCTCAAATTGACAGGGCTTCGTGAACTAAATTTGGCTTAAATTATGATAGCAATTGAACACTTCATTATAGTTTCTACCGATGACCTACTATCATGATTTTTATCTGACCCCACTTACGGACGCGTTGACATATAATGCATACAACTCAATAATAGCCAATCAGACGTTAAGATATCCTTCACTTCCCCCAGAAGCAGCCTGGAAGCAGCTGAGATGCAGCCATTTAATGTTATTTATAACCAATGAGATACCGTTAACAGATTAACCACATTCCAGACGTCCAGCCTCTGACTAATCAGACCGTATCACCATGGTGATACGGTAATCAAAGGACCCATTGTAGGAGTTATTGCCTTTAGATGGTGAATTTTACCTTTCTTGCATTTCTAATGAAACTATAATTGTTGATACAGAGAATGTTTCGATAGTAAAAATGTTTAACAAAATATGGTCTAAAATTAACATAGACGAATCGCCAATTGGCCCCTTAGAGGAGTTACTGCTCTTGAAAGACATTGAACTCATTGTTTGCGTTTTTTGCAGAAACTATAATAGATACAGAGAAATGTTTGCAGAAACCATTATAGATAGAGAAAATGTGTAAAAAGCAAAGATCTTATGATTTTATTTTATTTTTTGCTGTTTTTGCACAAACTATAAACAGTCATCATGGTTGAAATTATCAACCAACTCTTTATAGAAGTTATTTGTACTTAATGATGATTTTTATCCATGTTTTACATTATTTTCAAAAACTATCATGACTATAGGAGTTACAGAGAAACTTCAAAAGAAACAAAAAAGATCAGCAAAAGAGCTACATGTAAGTCATCATTGCCAAGTTGTCACACTAATTACGGATTTATTGCCATTGAGTGACGTTTTTATCTTAAAAACTTTAATAAACACGCATCAACTGTAAACAATAAAAATGATCATCAAAACAAGACTTTCAAAAGATCTACAAATAAGCAAACATATCTGATTGCAATGAAGGAAAAAATTATCCAAATGGCATATGTTTACCAAGTGGTCGATTCAGGTTCTGTGGAGCCTCTTGTTTAGTTTTATAAAACATCCGTAAATGTTTTGCCTTCATGGTTTACATATTTTTGGAATAATGTTTTAACAATTATACTATTTGAAGTTCTACTATATTTTCTAAATCCAAACAATGTTCGAGGCCTTACGGTTGCCTATTATTGCTTACATCTACTTCATTTGAACTTTGGTGGATAGTTGTCTCATTGGCAATCATACTACACCTCCTTATTGTTATGTGTTGTTGTTTTTTTTTGTGGGGGGGGGGGGGGGGGGGGCTTCAAATATGCTCAATAATCTATTATTAATGATAGAACTGAATAATTTACATAGAAAGTTAGTAAAAAGTAAAATAAAATAAATGCCGAACTCCAAGGAAAATTCAAAACAGAAAGTTATTTAACAAATGGCAAAATCAAAGCTCAAACACATCAAACGAATAGAAAGCAACTGTCATATTTCTGACTTGGTACAGGCATTTCCTTATGTAGAATATGGCATAATGCTTCCTAATTATTAGATTTAGATTTTGTTCCATTTTTCTGAATATAATGGTGTAAACAATGGAAGATTGAAAAAAATTGGCTAATACTCTTAACAATGTTTTAGCTACTGTTTTTTTTTTATTATGCCATGCCAAATCATATCTAAGTCACTGCTTTTTGTCATTTTGTAACTGTTTGTTTTGACGTGCTTTATTTCTGAAATATTACAGGTTTATCTGTCCCTTTAAAAATAAATGTTGTTCTTATTTAAAAATTCAGTTGATATATGAGTTTCAAAGGCAGTATCCATCTTATCAGGAATTCTCTGTTCTTTAAAATGTTTATAAACAGTTTTAAATCAGTAAACTGTTGATATTAATTTCAGTAAAATTTGACATGTACATGTGAGTGTTTACGCAATTCAATGGTCAATATAAATTAGATTTCAAAGGGACATAACTCTTGCAGTATTAGTTGATCTGTGCTGATTTTTGAAATCGTCCCATACATTGCTGATATTATCATTTGATATACATTTCATAACAATCCTACAAGAAATGTAGGTATGAGAGTGTAAACTAACAATGCAATTTTCAATATTATTAATATTTCCAAGAGGTATGACTCCTTTAAAAATAGTTTTGCGTACCAGTTCTCAAATTTGTACTGTAAGACATTGCTGATATGAACCTTTGACAAATGCATTTTCGCGCAAATGGACATGTCATTTTTACTCTTATTTTTTTTCACTGGTATACTGCATTTGTAGTTTTGGAAACAAATCATGATGATATACTCTGAATTCCGTTCAAAATTCTTAACTGGACAGAAAGAACAGTGTAATCTAGAAATTACAACATTTTTTCTATTTTTAGTTTGTATTGTAGGCTGAAAAAATGGGAATTCCAAGTATAAACAATCTTGCAAAGAAGAACCCAAGCTTTTGGAAAATATCTGACTTTCAAGACATAGGACTGGTGATCGCTGGTAACTGTTTAGTCCAATTTCTGTATAAATATCCAAATATTGATACCATTGGAAATTATAATGAATACGCCGAAAAGGTAGAAATGTTTTTTAAGTGGCTTCTTAAACGCAGGATAACACCTTTTGTGGTTTTTGATGGCGCCCTTGATATGGATAACAAGGATATCGGAATTGTATTAGGCAAAACTAAACATCGTATTGATAAACCGGAAGAAGGTACGCCAGTTCTTGCCATTCTTACTTTTATTAACATACTAGACAAACTTAGAATCAACTACTTAAAAAGTGATTTTGAAGCTGATAGAGACGTTCAAAAATTAGGTAATGATTTGAAATGTCCGGTTTTGTCGTCTAATAGTGACTTTTTTGTCTTTGATGTCCAGTTCGGTTACATACCATTTGATTCACTACCGTTTAAATCAATTTTGACTGGAGTAAATAAATCCTCCGTTGAAATCAAAATATATTTCATTCAGAACTTATTGAAAAAATTTCCTTATTTAACGGATAAAATGGCGCTATTGGCGACTGCGCTCGGTAACGATACCTTTGTTAAAGATTCAAAAGCTCTACAATTTGCATACCATACTGATAATTTTAGACTTCCCGAGTGTATGGCCATAACTTCAGATGTGTTTGAAACGCCATGTGAACGTAATGAACCCTTTTTTATAACAACGAGAAAGGTTTTATACTGGATAAGTCGTTGCAAAGATGTTGAAAGGGGGAAAAGACAATTGCAATATTACTGTAAGGAAGACAAGAACGAAGAGGAAAGACTCTTCCGTTCCCTAGAGGTATATACAGAAACCGGGAAATATACGAGTTATAACCTTTATGACCTCATTCATAGAAGTGATGCGAGGAGATTTTGTCGATCATCATTTCCATTTGGTATTAGAAAGTGGATAATTGAACATCACCGCAGGGGTAAAATTCCAAACTTTGCAATGAATACATTAATACACAAGAAAAACATTTTCACGTGTCAATTAGAGGGCACACATGAAACCTCCTCCCACGACTGCAGTCTGTCAATTCGAGAGGTTATATATGCATTATTGGTAGGAACTGAAACCAACATTACAGAATATGATCGACAAAAAGGGAGTTTATGCAAATTCTCAAGAAAGGGAGTTATAAGCACTACAGGAGTACTCAAAGATTTGCATGTACCGGACATGTCGTCTGCAGTAAAAATCAAAATTTTAAGTACGGCTTTGTGTTGTTCAGTACCTTCTAGTAAAACAAGTGGACAACTCGATCAAACACGCCTATTTTTGATGATTACAGCATATTGGGCAAGAGTCGCTGAACCGTCTATTAACAATAACTTCATCAAATCTGTTCTTATTTGTTACATTTTATTTTCTGCAAGACACAAAGAATTTCAACCTGGAACCAAAATTATTCGAAGGCTTGAAAACTTGCACTCCGAGGCAACAGAGTTTGCTGATGGACATATAAAATCGTACCGAGATTTCATACTGAATATCATATACACATTTGCACAGTTTCAGTCTTGTATTTTATATACAACACATCTTAACAGCCTTTTACAATGTCCACTCGAAAATGTTAATCCTACTATTGTTTTCAATGGTTCATTTCTACACAAAATGTATTATATCCTGAATGAGAAGAATGAAGATATTATTGCAAAACATTTATATGGATGTAATGTTTTTGTATGGTTTAACCAGATGTTATATTTTTTACAAGAGAACGTTTGCATAAACAATAGTGCATAAGCTGCAGTGAAAAAAAACGTTCTTGTTTTACTTGTTTGCCTTTCAATTTGAAAAAAAATATTCTCTTTAAACTATATGTACTTAAGGGTGAGTTTCAGAAAATCAAAAATGCGAATTAGAATAAAACGGAAAAAGAAACTTTCATTTACAAATCTTTTCATTGTATGAGATGCTCTCAATCTAAGTTTTAACGTATAGCTGCTTGAGCAAGTGATTAGATTGTGTATGTACACGTGGTTGCATTTGATGTTGTTTCTGTTTGGTGAGCCTATAGTAAGAAGACTTAGATAAGATTTGTCAAAGCCGGGTCAAACATTATGACATCGGTAATGGGTCCTATACAACATGTACAAGTTTTCAGGACAGGTTTGACGTATTTGTCGTCACAAAATGATGATACAGAATTTTACGAATAACTAAAACATTGAGGATGGTACAGGCACAGGGTTGACCGAAAAAGGAAAACACCGAACCAGTTTTCCCGAGAACATTTGCAGTATATTTAAAAATAATTGAATAGCTTGAATGACCATGAGCCACTATATATTAATTATCTCAGTTGTTTATAAAATTTAACTACGAGTACCTGGTTTAGAGGTATATAAATCATAAGACCCACCAATGGGAGATTTTTTCCTATCATCCCTTGCAAGTATTTTTTGTTTTTTCTTATAATGTGTAAAAGGTCATTTTTGTCTTGCCTGCAACGAAAGTAGCACAATGCGAAACATAGGGATTTCAACGCGACGGCGGCGTAGACTACTTGTATATAGCATTATGTTCCAGATGCCTTATGTTACAGAGTTTGTCTGTCATAATATTATGTCCATTATCCTTAACCTCATTTTCTATTTTTAACGCCTGAATATATAAATTTGTCAGTACCGATAAGAACAGTTTTCAAAGAACTTACTACGGTGTTAAATTGAAAACCTTTAAGAATAAGTTTATTCAAAGGATCAATGAGGTAACATGGGTCGTATCTAAATTTTGACATCTCTGTTAATTCCTAAAAAAAAAAACCAAAGTAAACAAATACTATTAATAGTTGTATTCGAAATTGAAATATTGAAAAAAATAGGGGTCTCACTTTTTTTCTGTTTAAATCATTTAAGTCTGAGTGCTGTTTGAAAAAAAAAAGATTTATCACGACAGTTCGCTTAATTTGTCCTTTTTTGTTGTTTTATACGTACATTTTTGACGTTTAGATAAAAAAGAAGATGTGGTATGAGTGCCAATGAGACAACTGTCTATCCAAGTCACCATGTATAAAAAGTTAACAATTATAGGTCAAAGTACGGCCTTCAACACGGAGCATTGGCTCACACCGAACAGCAAGCTATAAAGGGCCCCAAAAAGACTAGTGTAAAACAATTCAAACAGGAAAACCAACGGTCTTATCTATGTAAAAAACGAGAAACGAGAACCACTGAACAACAGGCTCCTAAACACACATATTTCACATTTTTTGATTTATTGGGAATTGGCAATAATAAATGCAGAATATATCGTTTTTCGATATTCAGAGGCAGTTTAATTAGTTCTAAATGAACATTAAGATGTTCTCATCCTCAGATGCATTTAATATTTGCCACTGGAGATTAAACACCAATCAATCGATCATAACATAATATTTAGTGCATAAACTCGTGATAACAAACATCTACATATAATTGTGATTTGTTTTTGTTTTTGTTTAGATTAATCTAAGATTAAGTAATAAAAGTGGTTCAGACGTGCCATATCAAACAGACATAACTCCTGTAAAAACAAAAGATCAGCGTTGATTTTCTATATGAGTATCTGGCAAGAATTGTACACTTGAGAGCTCTAACAATGCATTCTTTATAAAATTTTCATTTCTAATGGACATAATTCATGTAAAAAATAGATCAGCGCCGATTTAATCAATCCAAGAAATTGCTAAATATAAAGGTTCGGAAAATACTTCATAACAATAAAAAAAAAAATGTAGGCTAAGGAGCTCTTAATGCAAATTTTCATATGATTTCTATTTTAAAGGGACATTAATGCTTTAAAAACAGTTGTTTGAGACTTATTTTCGAACTTGTCCAAGACATTGCCTATATAAACCTTTAATATAAATTTTATAAAAATCTGGTAAGAATTGTACACGTGAGAGCGCTTAAACAACACCAGACGGACAGAATGACGCCCGGTATGGTAAGTCTATGTGCCCGCAACGCTTCGTACGGAAGACAATTGCAATAAGCAATTAACTCATAATTGCTGCAATGCCAATCATTTAATAATTTTCTCTGACAATACAGAAGTTCCGAGATAGTTTTTTTAAAGGTTCCGATCTCTTCTAAAACACCAGGCCACACGAAGGACATTACAGACGAGCATTTGCTTTTTCGGGTTTGGAGGGGGTGTATTCTCGTGATCGTATAATTGTAGAATGAGTTGTGTTATGAAGTGAGAAAAAGACGTCTATACAAATGAATTATATAATGCTGGAATACAAAGACGTTAACACATAGCAACCATGACGTTACATATAGACAGCGCTAACGCGTATAAGCACAAATATGATTCCCGCGGTACTGATAGTCTCTATTTATCCTCGACATACTCGGGGCAGCGAGTTTGTGCAATTAAAGTCTCAATGAGCAATGTATCGAAATTAAGAAAATTGTCTATGAAATGAAAAGAAATGAAATATTTGAAACTTTAAAGTCTATGAATCACATATAACTTTCATTGAATCAAGTTGCGATTGAAAATTGTTCTCAGCTCAGTTATAATTACAGTCTCTGATTGCGGTTTTGTAAACGAACACTCCTTCTAAGTATTTGCGATTCATCATTGTCATTAGAATTTATCTCTAGTGGGTACAGTTTGACGATTGGTCTATTAGTAAGTCCAAATTTTGTACGCACTATTGCTGATCTCACCAAACCATCTCCACCACGCACAAGGTTCTCGATGATACCAATGTTCCATACAGTTCTAGGCGAGTCATCATGTATCTGTACGATGTCCCCGGTCTTTATCCTCTGTAGATTATTTCCACTGGCTCTGTGGAATTCCCGTAGTGATGTTATGTACTCTTTCTTCCATCTCGTCCTAAAGTGTTGTAGCAATTCTTGTTGTTGTTTGTTACGCTTTAGCGCATAAGCACAAGTTAGTGTTTTTCTAGTGTCTTTAAGTTCGCTATGGTCATTTGAAGGATACGGGGAGTTTTTTTTTATCTTCTACCATACAAAAGATGAGACGGCGTAAGTGGTTCTGGATCCTTTTCATCAGTAGAGATGTACGTGAACGGTCGGTCATTCAGTGTGCACTCGATTTCTGTTACAACGGTGTGTAGCATATCTAAGTCTATACAGGCACGTCCTAATGTTTTCTTGAGCGAAGTTTTTGTGAGTCCAATAAGTCGCTCCCACCATCCTCCGTACCAAGGAGCCCTGCTGGGTATAAACTTCCACACTGTTCCAAACTCACTAAGTTTTCTGTGCACACTTTCTGATTTGAATATTTGAGAAATCTCTGACGCTGCAAATTTCTATGTAGAAGCATTGTCAATTATCATAATGTTTGGTAAAGATCGACGGCTAATAAATCTGCGTAATGCTAATAAAACGAATGTGTCGTTAAATCCTGAACTAACTCAATGTGAACAGCTCTGGTTGAGGCGCACGTAAATAGACATATGTACGCTTTCGTTTCCTTGTTTCCATTTTGTCGTACATGTAACGCTCCTGTGAAATCAACTCCCGTGACGCTGAATGGCGGCTCTTCTCCAAGACGATCCTTTGGTAGCGGTGGTGGGTCAGGCGCAATATACGGTCGACTAATTATCTTCCTACAGGGAATACAATTCCGTAATGCGGTTTTCACTCTTTGTCGGATTTTCGGTATCCAAAATGTCTGTAGAATTAACGTAATTTTCCCATATATTTTTGTAGTTTGTGTGCGTCCAAAATAATCAATGTTGTCAATGGGTGTTTTGTCGGAAGTAAATAAGGGTATTTCACTGTTTCGCTAACGAGCGCATTGTCAATTCTTCCTCCGGACGTAGTAGTCCTTTTTCGTCGATATATAATCGTAACTGACGTACAATAGGTAGTCGATTAGTATCCTTTGAAACAATATTGCGGATTTCATTAATGAAAATAGTTTGCTGTACATTCCGTATCAAAACGAGTGAAGCATTTTGAATCTCGTCTATCTCTAACTGTTGGTATTTCCTGTTTTCTGAAAGTGTTCTGCAATTCGTTATAAAGCGCAATACGTAAGACATTATATGGAGCAGCTTTGGATAACTGCTGAACTCCTCTATATTGATGACTTCCTTTACAACTGTGAATCTGTCATCATTTTGTTGAATTTGCCGGTTTATTTCTTTAATTTCATTGTCTGTAATTGTTGTCATAGCAACGGAATTTCGATCCCAATGCGGCCATTGTTCTTCATGTGCAAGCCATTTTGGTCCGTTGAACCAAGTTTCATTGTTCAAAAACTTCGATGAAGACATTCCGCGCGTAAGTCAGTCAGCGGGGTTACAGTCGGTTGGACAATACCTCCAAGTTTTATTTTCTACAAGATGTAGGATTTCTGTAATTCTATTAGCAATAAAAGGTTTTTGTATTTTCGACGAATACAACCAGCTCAGAACGATTTGGCTATCACACCAAAATGTGATTTCTGTAATTCCTAAAATATTCGACACATGTTTACCTAATTTCGCTCCAACTACGGCGCCCATCAACTCCAGTCGCGGAAAAGTAATAACTTTAAGTGGTGCAACTCTATTTTTAGCCATAACTAATTGCGAATGTTTTCCTTGTATAATGTAGGCGCATGCTCCATAAGCTTGTTTGCTGGCATCGGTAAAAATGTGTAAACTAGCTGTTTGCGGTGATAATCCATCATTGTTTAGTAGTCTGGAAAGTTGAACTGGTTTTGTACCTTTAAGATCTGTAGATAAAGTAGTCCATTGCGTAGTTACATCTTCAGGTAAACGTTCGTCCCATCCAAAATTACGTTTCCATAGCGACTGCATTAGTATCTTAGCTTTCACTGTCACGGGACTAAGTATGCTAAGCGGATCAAAGATTTTTGACGACTGTCGTAATATTTCTCTTTTTGTTACATCTACCATGGTTGAATCTATGTCTACTTCTGCAAAAAAAAGTTTGTCGTCCGCTACCTTCCAGCGCATTCCAATTATGTTGACCTCGTTACTTGAATCTAGTACGTTTTCTGTGTCAGCAAGTTGTCGTAGTCTGTTAGAATTAGAATTCCATGACCTGAGATTAAATCCTCCTTTCTGTAATAAATACCTGGAATCACGGTAAAACTGCATTAAGTCGTCTTCATCAGTAAAACTAGTTAAAACATTGTCTACGTACAAGTCTTGTGTAATTCTTGAAGCTGCTGGACTAGGATTCTCTTCAAAGTGTTTGAATAAAGTTGCATTCAGTATAAATGATGAGCATGTAGCTCCGAATAAGACTGATTTGAAACGATAAGTTGTAAACGGACTGTTTGTATCTGTCGGGTCACTTAACCAAAAGAAGCGAGTTACATCACGGTCAGATTTATGAAGTCCAACTTGCAGAATGCCTTTTCAATATCTGTTGTCACTGCAAACTTCTGAGTACGAAATCTGGTAAGTATCTCTGTTATATCATTTGAAATTGGCGGATATGAATGAAGACAGTCATTCAAACTCGAACTTTTTGCGTTCTCTTTACAACTGCAATCATACACAATTCTAATCGGAGTAGTTGTGGAATCTTTTTTGACGGGGTGATGCGGTATGTAGTGTATGCGCTGTGGCTCGTCCTCATTCTCTCCTACCTTTTCGATGAAACCACGGTTTTCCTGCTCTTTAATTATGTCGCCATAGATTTTAAATAAGTTTGGTTCCTGATTTAAGCGGTTAACGACTCTATGGGTCCTTGCTCTTGCGATCATCTCGTTTGTCGGTAATTCAGGGCATTCTTCAACCCAGGGAAGTTTTGCCACGTACTTTCCATCCTCATATGTTATCGATGTTGATGAAAATTGTTTGATGTTCTGTTTCTCCGTGTTAAGTTTGTTGTTTTCTTGTATACCAAGGGACTCCAATTTCCAAAACCTCTCAATATCATAGTCCTCTTTTGTGTGACTAGATAATATATGCATCATTTGTGAATTGCGTTGTCCTCTGGTACATGTAAGCGGTCCAGATAACAAATATCCTATGTTCGAGCTCATCGCTGTCGGTCCGTCGCCTCGAACGATATCATCCTTGATCACATCCCAGTAGTGGTCTTCTCCAATGAGCAAAGAGATTTCGAAGCTATTATCCTCTGATAACGGGTGGGCTAGTTTTAGTCCCTTCAAATAATGTAGTTGCTGTGAAATGTACCTGCGATTATTCTGGATCGGCGCTGCTATGGTAGGTACAATCAATACCTGTAAAGGCATTTTCTCTCCTGAGTCTGCTTCTAAGTACACTGTGGCTTTATTCATGTGGCGAACATTCTTGTCTGAATTTCCAAAGGCGGATATGTTGAGGGTTTCCTTTCCGTCTGGCTTGACGTTCAACTTGTCGGCTATTTCCTGCGTCATAATATGGGTCAATATCCCTAATGCGCCTCAAATTGAGGAACACAAAATGTGTGTGTAAACAAACTATCTCTGTGTAGTGATATTGGACATGTTTCTATTTTTAACAAGTGACTGAGCTTAACCATTTGTGTTGATTTTGAAAGTAGAGGACCATAGAATAAATGTGTAAAAACTATGGAGTTATTAAATGTATTCAAAGTATTAGATTTTCAAAGAATTTTTTATGTGAAAAAAGGGATTTTTTACCAGGAAGAGCCGCATCACGAAAGGACTTTCGGGGTATGCTAATTTACGGAAAAATGAATCACACTTCGTACCCCAAAAATTTAACCACATCTGTGAAAATGTCTCAGCTTCGAAACGAGCCATCATACATATCCAAGTTTACGATATGGACTGAGCTACAGAAGAAAACGTTACCATTACCGCCTATGGAGAAACAATTGCGCATATTGCCCCAATTTATAAGACTGTATATTTGAAGTTGTCAGACTAATTTATGAATGATTGCATCTTGTACACCAGAGAAAATTGTGAAAATGAAGGTTAGTTGTCTTTAATAAATACCTAGCCATCACAGCTGGTTTTAGATTAACATTATTTATAAAGATCGGCAACAATTTTTGAAATGTATTACTGGCACGGGGCTGGAGCACTTCTTTTAGGCACAATAAAAACTGTGTTAACATCAAACGCTGGCACATTTTATTGACATGAAAAAGGGACTAACTTCTTTTGGAAAGATTTAATATTGTTAAATTGTAAGTCAACATGACACACTAAAAACATTGTTATGTCATTATCATTCCAGTCTACACATGCTACAGGAATAGCTGATAATCAAGGGAAATAACACACTTCGGACGAATATAATTTGATAGTGATACATTGTTTTACACCAATAATTTGACCATTAATTAGCAGCTGGTCACTAAAACATGCAATTAAACAGACAAACATATTTTAAGAAAAGCACAAATTGCTATATATTTTAATGCACAGTAACAAATCACAAGATAGTGTCTTTTCTCAGTGAAAAAGGGGGAGGGTCAAATCTTAAAACAAAGTGCTCCACCTATTCTGCTATAAAGCTACTAATGATTGCTCCTCATAAAAAAGGTTAAAATGAAGGTTGTGAAGCCACAAGAGAGGAGAATCTCTTTATTTGTGATAAAACTTTCAAGGATTTGATTTTCCCCTCTCAATTATACAGTTTGTATTTAAATGAAATGATAAGACAACCTGAATAAATTTTTTGTCTTATTTTAGTTTCAGACATATCATTCCAGTTTAACCTGAGACGGCAAATAAGAGGTTTTAAAAAGTTCTGAATTACTGGTAAGCATTTTGTTTTATTAGGCAAGCTCTAAATTGTTTATTTATGGTTTTTATGCAATTGAAATTACAGTCAGGGGGATGAAAATATGCTGATAGGAAAACTGTTGCTATGGTCTTGGTATTATATAAAATGCTTAGTAACTGATCTTTTCGACTCGACATTTTGACTTTAACCCTGAGGCAACTGTTCGTTGTGTAACACTGCAAACTGTGCTTAGCATTATTTTTATCAGTCGCTATTTAATGACATCATAATACGTGTGATGTCATAATGTTTACTTAAAAGCTTATGGGCATTTCTCACTAAAAAAGGGTTTTCACTGCAATACATTCGAAAAAATCTTTTTATTTAAATAGAATTATGTGAAAGGTCAAGTTTTGAAAATTTGCACTTCATTGCGCTTTAATTATATGATAAATATGACATTCACACCATTTTAGAGTGGTTTTTCAGGTAGAAATTACCAGATTTCCAGTGGCAAAAATTATTAAGTATTTTTTAGAGTTTTTGGATGAAATCTACATTTTTGCATAATTTCTCAGTCAAAATGCACTTTTAGACATCAGAAATTTTATTAAATGCTTGAACAGGGTCTTTATATTGTAATTAAAGGTTATCATTAGATATTTTATCTATATTGCGACTTGAGAAGGTATACTGGAAGAAATAAATATTATACTTACACATTGTACTCAAAATTAATGAATATAGGGATAAAAGGATCATTGCCTTATAGTGCTGAAACAACTTTATTTTCTATCAGAAATGGACAAAAACTCACAGTTTTATTCAGAAAGTCATACCAATGAAGATTACACAGGACTATTGGGAAAAATCATATCCCTAATGCGCCTCAAATTGAGGAACACAAAATGTGTGTGTAAACAAAAAATCTCTGTGTAGTGATATTGGACATGTTTCTATTTTTAACAATTGACTGAGCTTAACCATTTGTGTTGATTTTGAAAGTAGAGGACCATAGAATAAATGTGTAAAAACTATTGAGTTATTAAATGTTTTCAAAGTATTAAATTTCCAAAGAATTTTTTATGTGAAAAAAGGGATTTTTTACCAGGAAGAGCCGCATCACGAAAGGACTTTCGGGGTATGCTAATTTACGGAAAAATGAATCACACTTTGTACCCCAAAAATTTAACCACATCTGTGAAAATGTCTCAGCTTCGAAACGAGACATCATACATATCCAAGTTTACGATATGGACTGAGCTACAGAAGAAAACGTTACCATTACCGCCTATGGAGAAACAATTGCGCATATTGCCCCAATTTATAAGACTGTATATTTGAAGTTGTCAGACTAATTTATGAATGATTGCATCTTGTACACCAGAGAAAATTGTGAAAATGAAGGTTAGTTGTTTTTAATAAATACCTAGCCATCACAGCTGGTTTTAGATTAACATTATTTATAAAGATCGGCAACAATTTTTGAAATGTATTACTGGCACGGGGCTGGAGCACTTCTTTTAGGCACAATAAAAACTGTGTTAACATCAGACGCTGGCACATGTTATTGACATGAAAAAGGGACTAACTTCTTTTGGAAAGATTTAATATTGTTAAATTGTAAGTCAACATGACACACTAAAGAAATTGTTATGTCATTATCATTCCAGTCTACACATGCTACAGGAATAGCTGATAATCAAGGGAAATAACACACTTCGGACGAATATAATTTGTTAGTGATACATTGTTTTACATCAATAATTTGACCATTAATTAGCAGCTGGTCACTAAAACATGCAATTAAACAGACAAACATATTTAAAGAAAAGCACAAATTGCTATATATTTTAATGCACAGTAACAAATCACAAGATAGTGTCTTTTCTCAGTGAAAAAGGGGGCATAGCCAGAAATTAGTAGTACTTTTGCTAATTAATATTCATAATATGTAAATGAGAATTGTACCACGTGATAATAGTTTGAAGTGGACTGGCTTGATATCATTAAAATCTTTAAAACACGGATATTATAAGTTGCCCGTCACAGAGTCCTTGTTTATAATCACTCTGATATTTCCGTAAAGTTGTCAGGCGGTCAAAATCAAAACAATGAACGCGAATTTAGTGAATTTTTCGTGTTTTCGTGAATTTATTCTTCTTGAAATAGAGGCATTTTAATTTTACGTGGGAACCTAGAGTTCAACGACTACACATACAAAGTTTGGACTTGCTTATTCTTTGGACATTCAAGTTTCAAGTTTCACCCCGGCAACCTGTATTTCTAATGACCATGTTAGCCAATTTTCAACACGAAGTTTGCAAATTTGACGTTTCAGCCATTTTAGCCTGTATTTTATACTGCAATGTTAAAAGCTTCTCGCTTCGATTTTTTAAATAGCTCAGGAACCTTGTTTTTTGCAACGACAGTCATTATATTTCGTTTAAATGGTGTATATTGTTGTGTACATTTATTTTCTGCCTCGGCAACCTGTCTATCACTTAAATCAAAGTTAAAACAGACATTTTTTCAAAATTCCCTATCATTTCAATATAATTTCCGTGACCCGTATCTGATTTCTTTAGTATAATGTTCAAATAAGCAAAGTGGCGTTGATTTCTGGATATGGAGGGTCAAATCTAAAAACAAAGTGCTTCACCTATTCTGCTATTAAGCTACTACTGATTGCTCCTCATAAAAAAGGTTAAAATGAAGGTTGTGAAGCCACAAGAGAGAAGAATCTCTTTATTTGTGATAAAACTTTCAAGGATTTGATTTTTCCCTCTCAATTATACAGTTTGTATTTAAATGAAATGATAAGACAACCTGAGTAAATTTTTTGTCTTATTTTAGTTTCAGACATATCATTCCAGTTTAACCTGAGACGGCAAATAAGAGGTTTTAAAAAGTTCTGAATTACTGGTAAGCATTTTGTTTTATTAGGCAAGCTCTAAATTTTTATTTATGGTTTTTATGCAATTGAAATTACAGTCAGGGTGATGAAAATATGCTGATAGGAAAACTGTGGCTATGGTCTTGATATTATATAAAAATGCTTAGTAACTGATCTTTTCGACTCGACATTTTGACTTTAACCCTGAGGCAACTGTTCGTTATGTAACAATGCAAACTGTGCTTAGCATTATTTTTATCAGTCGCTATTTAATGACATCATAATACGTGTGATGTCATAATGTTTACTTAAAAGCTTATGGGCATTTCTCTCTGAAAAAGGGTTTTCACTGCAATACATTCGAAAAAACCTTTTTATTTAAATAGAATTATGTGAAAGGTCAAGTTTTGAAAATTTGCACTTCATTGCGCTTTAATTATATGATAAATATGACATTCACACCATTTTAGAGTGGTTTTTCAGGTAGAAATTACCAGATTTCCAGTGGCAAAAATTTATTAAGTATTTTTTAGAGTTTTGGATGAAATCTACATTTTTGCATAATATCTCAGTCAAAATGCACTTTTAGACATCAGAAATTGTATTAAATGCTTGAACAGGGTCTTTATATTGTAATTAAAGGTTATCATTAGATATTTTATCTATATTGCGACTTGTGAAGGTATACTGGAAGAAATCAATATTATACTTACACATTGTACTCAAAATTAATGAATATAGGGATAAAAGGATCATTGCCTTATAGTGCTGAAACATCTTTATTTTCTTTCGGAAATGGACAAAAACTCACAGTTTTATTCTGAAAGTCATACCGATGAAGATTACACAGGAATATTGGGAAAAATCAGAACTATGGATTTCAATATATATTGGGTCAATATCCCTAATGCGCCTCAAATTGAGGAACACAAAATGTGTGTGTAAACAAAAAATCTTTGTGTAGTGATATTGGACATGTTTCTATTTTTAACAAGTGACTGAGCTTAACCATTTGTGTTGATTTTGAAAGTAGAGGACCATAGAATAAATGTGTAAAAACTATAGAGTTATTAAATGTATTGAAAGTATAAAATTTTCAAAGAATTTATTGTGTGAAAAAAAGGGATTTTTTACCAGGAATAGCCGCATCACGAAAGGACTTTCGGGGTATGCTAATTTACGGAAAAATGAATCACACTTCGTACCCCGAAAATTTAACCACATCTGTGAAAATGTCTCAGCTTCGAAACGAGCCATCATACATATCCAAGTTTACGATATGGACTGAGCTACAGAAGAAAACGTTACCATTACCGCCTATGGAGAAACAATTGCGCATATTGCCCCAATAATGATCGTTGCGCTCCTTCGTCGAAAAGAATGTTAGTGTCGGCGCACTGTGACCATATGGGAGCTATTCCGGTTTTCAAGAAGACGGTCAAATTCTCCTGTTTAGCAGATGTATGCATGATCGGCGTGCCATTTTCTGTATTACTTGTAATATTCTGACTCTGTGATTTTTGACAACTGAAACATAGGTTTCTCTTCTTTACAATCTCCATTCTTGATTTGCTATCGGTGAACTTTTTACATTCTGCAGGGAAATGTTGATCATTGCAATAAATGCACATTTTACTTTGAGAATAGTTTTTAGATTTTGATTTATTTACGTAATTCCCATTTTTTTACCAATTCCGGCATGGAAACTTGCGGTAGGGATAACATTTGTTTCACTCCCATTAGTGCTGGCTTCTTGAATCGATATTTCCTGTTGTATTGCCTTTCTAAGCTTTCCAAGGGTCCAGTCGTCGTTTCCGTTTTCTCTTGTTATATTACTTTTTACGGTTATAGGGAGCTTACCAAGAATAACTGGGATCAACAGGGAACCATACGTATCTTGGCACTGTCCTAAAGATTCCAATCCACGGATATAGACCTCTGACTTATCAGAAAAATTATGGAGACTATCTAATGTGTATGAGGGTGCTGGCAGATCTAAAAGTGCTTTCATATATGCGTTCACAATTTTATGTGTTTTCCCAAAGCGATTTACTAATAATTCTACGGCTTTGTGGTAATTTGCGCTTGACAAGTTCAAACCATTTATGACATTCATAGCGTCTGCATCAAGAAGTGACTGTAGGTAGGTAAATTTCTGTACATCAGTTAGAGTATGATTACTGTGAATGGTGATTTCAAACGACTCCCAAAAGTATTGCCACTCAAGAATATCCCCAGATAAAGTAGGCAGGGCTAGCTTCGGCAAGCGGTGATTTTGACTTGACAGTGAACTAGTTTGTGACGAAAATCTTGGGATGAATTCTGTGTTCATTACAGGACGGGTTTCGGGATTGACTTCATGCATGTTCATGATAGGGCGTGTGCTTGGGATACTTTCATGAGATAATTCTGTACATGTACGTGTAATTTTTTGTGCTAACTTCTTATAACGGCGTAAATGTGTTTCAAGTTCTAAATTATACTCATCTACATCTGTGATTTCAACTTCTATATCTTCTTCTGAGGTATTTTCCAAGATCTGTTCATCCAGTTTAAGAATAACACTTTGTTTTTTCACTATAGCGTCAATAATTGGACCTGCAATGTCAATATCCATCTCCGAATCAGTGTTCAACTCATCTAGTTTCTTGAAGAATTTCGTGACAGCGGCTCTATTTCCAGCTCTAATAGACTTGATTTTCGTCGAATCCATCTTTTATCCTGGTCTCGGTACCAATCTCGTGATCGTATAATTGTAGAATGAGTTGTGTTATGAAGTGAGAAAAAGACGTCTATACAAATGAATGATCTAATGCTGGAATACAAAGACGTTAACATATAGCAACCATGACGTTACATATAGACAGCGCTAACGCGTATAAGCACACATATGATTCCCGCGGTACTGTGATAGTCTCTATTTATCCTCGACAGTATGTTGCGGATGAAATATTCATTTCGCTTGTTACTAGTACGGCT